CAATTTTTTTTTAATTACCTAACAAAATGTTAGAGGAAAAAAGTATTAACATAATGTTAATCCACAAATAATCCAGTCAGAGAAGTACGAACACACCAACACAGCAACAATGCAGCTCATAACATCGGAGCTACACATTACACAGGTGCCGACTGAATGAGTGAACACAGACGCGGATTATCGCCCTTGGTTGGGGTACTCGGCCGGTTCTCTAAGTCTCACGGGCACGTTTGTTCCTGGTGCATGTTCCACGCCCCTCCGGTCACGTGGTTCGGGGCTCCATAATTGCCTGGCTAACATTTCACGGGTGTAAATTAGTCTAAGCTTTGGTAGGCAGACGTCAGTCAGTTCCTGAGGTAGGTAGGGGGGGGGGAAATGTACTACACCCTTCGGTAAGTGGGAGGATAATGCTGGTAGTGTTGTGTGGGTGTGGGGAGTTAATGCTGGTACTGTTGTGTGGGTGTGGGGAGCTAATGCTGGTACTGTTGTGTGGGTGTGGGGAGTTAATGCTGGTATTGTTGTGTGGGTGTGGGGAGTTAATGCTGGTACTGTTGTGTGGGTGTGGGGAGTTAATGCTGGTATTGTTGTGTGGGTGTGGGGAGTTAATGCTGGTACTGTTGTGTGGGTGTGGGGAGTTAATGCTGGTATTGTTGTGTGGGGGTGGGGAGTTAATGCTGGTATTGTTGTGTGGGGGTGGGGAGTTAATGCTGGTACTGCTGTGTGGGGGTTGGATAAATTATGCTTTTTTTGTGTAGGGGGATGGATAAATGGTGCACTGTTATGTGGGGGGGTAGTGAATAAATGCTGGTAGTGTGTTGTGTGAGGGAGTGGGGGAGGGGTGAATAAATGTTATTACTGTTTTGTGTGAGGGGGTGGGGGAGGGGTGAATAAATGTTATTACTGTTTTGTGTGAGGGGGTGGGGGAGGGGTGAATAAATGTTATTACTGTTTTGTGTGAGGGGGTGGGGGAGGGATGGATAAATGCTGGTAGTTTCGTGTGTGAGGGGTGGGGGAAAAGTTTCAGTTTGTAGAAAAAAAAATGTGTCTGTCTACATGTAAATGTTAGTGGTATCCCCGTACGTAGACCTACGTTGTGTGTTATATCGTATACGTTGTGTGTTTTACCACTTATCGCTAGCTTGTTGCCCAGCTCTACAACCTTACTTGTTGTCGTGACTATACACTACGGTACCATGAAGCTAGTAATTGCGTTCACCTTTCAAAGATCCATAATTTTTTAGACTAATTAGAGCGCGTTAATTTTTTCCACACTACATCCCGCACCCACCCACCCCCCTCCCCCTTCCCCCCTCTACCTGTTTAAAGCCTGCACCCTTTCATGCAGAACCCACACACGCGCTAAGAAGCAGGTGTTGTTAGTATCGTTGAGCATTCTTTCCCTTTAGCACTGAGTGAGTAACATGCACGCTGCTAGTTTTGACAGCAGGCATGCTCATCCATGGCCGTTACACACGTCATCCATGGCCGTTACACACGTCATCCATGGCTGTTACACACGTCATCCATGGCTGTTACACGCGATCTCTCGAGGTGCAGGTTTTGTAATCTCATGGCCAAGTAACAGGAGCACACGCTGATAGACGTCATTCACAGACAATACAAGTTTGAGGTTCCAACTCAACTTAAGGTTTCTAAGATTCCTCTTTAGACGTTGGGCAGATGAAGTAGAGTTCATGGTTCTTGACCTCAGCATATGAAGGTAAGGTGTGCTCAACACTGTGCCAAACACTTCACCCAAATTATGTCAGGTACCCGTCATAGCTGGGTGGACTCAGAGACGTCCTATAATACAAATCCGAACCGAGGTTCTAACTCGAGACCTTCGTGCTAGGTTTGTACTTGTATCATACATTAAAAGATATGAGTCTGAATTAATTTAGTATCACACAAATAATAGGCAATGCTCTGAACACATATAGCATCGCAATAGAGAGACAATAATTCTGCAATGCAATGCACATAGTCACAAAATAAATAAAAATCAAACAACAGAACCATACACAACAGAAATATATCTGTAAAAATGTTTTGTTAACTTAAACTTTTTAAATTCTCACACTGTAGTAATTACAAAAACATTTATTTAGAAAGCTGTTTTAAATGCTTATTCCTTCAAGCTGTTTTAAATGCTTATTTCGTCTAGTGTTGACGGAAATAAGCACGACCAATGTGTTGATTTATCGCGCTCAAAATAGACTCAGATATCAGTCCAGAAAGGAGTCGAGATAATAGAAAATTGTCTTGTTGCTTGTGGTAGGATGCCACGGTAGGTATACCTAAACTCGCTGCCAGCAGACATTGTCTATTGATAACTTAGTGGTAGCAGCAATATATGTCTTCTATTTTGCTTTTTAATATATCTATATGGTTTGGTAACTTAGACAAACAGATAATTACTTTCAGAAAGAAAATTATTTAATGCCCACACTGGGTGTCCTGATGGGTGCCCATACTGGCTGTGTTTATCAATGTCATGTGATACGTTACGTCGGGGGGTAGGTTGGGGGTGGAGGGGTAGGATATGTTGTGTGTAAGTTGGCGAGTAATAGTGGGATAGAGAACTGTTTCCTGCCGTTGCTAAGATTTACGTTGTTGAGAGCGAGAGTGTGGGGGTGGGGTGGGGGGGTGGGGTGAGGAGAGGTAACGATAATTATGTTAATTGACTTTCCTGGCACGCAGTAGAGGAGTAGAAGATTCGCGAATGTTATTGATATTAGAAGATGCTAAAACGTCGTTAATACTATTTTTTTTTATTTGGGAAGAAGAAAAAAAAGTATTTTGGGAGATTGTTTTTAAAAACTATTTGAAAATGTTTACAAACATGCTGAGTCATACCTATGAACTTATGAAGGGAAGGGAGAAAATGTGAGGTGGGAGTGAGACAATCTGAGGTAAGAGGAAGGGGAGACAATCTGAGGTAGGAGGAAGGGGAGACAACGAGAAGTGGGATGAAGAGAGAAAACTAGTGTTAGAAGGAAGGGAGACAACCGGTATCAGAAGGAAGGGAGAAAACCAAGAGTTAAGCTTTAGCTAATGTATAGAATTAGAGAGTGCAATCCGCTAAAAATCTCCAGACTCATTCAAAAGCTGGCGCCACTCCTTTACATTACGTCATAAGCTGTGAATGTTTACACACGTTTTTGAAGTTGGTTGTGACTTTAGGAAAAAATGGTTTTAAAAAAGTTCCTTTATAAGAAGAGAAGGTAACTAGAAATGTCGAAAATGTATTTGAACATGAAAGTTTGGAGATGTTTTTGTTCAAGTCTGTCATGAGGTGCCAAACACCATGAGCAAAACCTGTTTCAATTTCGGTGAGTTTCCGCATTTACAGCAGGTGATGGCTCCAAGATGTCCCGGGGGTAGGGGGAAGCACACCTGCTCATCAGTCCAGATTTTAAAACCAGCTAATCACACCTGCGCTTTTCCTCCTGTGCTAACCTTGTCTGCCTGCTTGTCTAAATAAAACACATAGACATTTGCGTGGAGTTAAAGTATTTTAAAACATAACACACTCTGAAATTATTGTCAACACAATTTCTAACTGTTTTGTTCCCAAACATTCGCAATTTATATTATCACTAGAAACAATATAATTTACTTAAAAACATCAGTTCAATAAGCTGTATTTATAGTGAAATGCTTGTAATAAATTATGAATTGTAATAGGCTAAATTCGTGATGTACTACAACTACCAAACAATGATTTGAACCCATTTGCTCGTTAAATCTGTCCATACATTTTCTCAACGTCTTATAAGATGGTGTAGTTCGATGTTTTAACCATTCAAGCCAATTTAACATGGGTATAACATGGGTATAACTTTGGTATAACATGGGTATAACATTTGTTTAACATGAGTATAACATGGGTATAACATGAGTATAACATGGGTATAACATGGGTAAAGCATGGGTATAACATGGGTATAACATGGGTATAACATGGGTATAACATGAGTATAACATGGGCATAACATGGGTATAACATGGGTATAACTTTGGTATAACATTGGTATAACATGGGTATAACATGGGTATAACATGGGTATAACACGGGTATAACATGGGTATAACATGGATATATATAATATGTATAACATGGGTATAACATGGGTATAACATGGAAATAACATAGGTATAACATGGGTATAACATGGGTACACTTATGAAGAAACGCGTAATGTCGTCTCATTGTTTACCAGCACTTCTATTATAACAGCATTAGACAAGCTATTTATACTTGGTATTTAGGGTAAATTAGAGAATGAGTGAGTCATGTTTCATGCTCTGTAATAGCTCCACGCCATCCTAAGATCACACATCATCTATATCTCCGCTGGCTGTATTGGGGAGGCTGTTTGATATTTAACAAAGCGTGATTTGAACGATGCTTTTTGCGTACGTGTCCTTGCAATTCCCTGTCTAAAAGGATAAAACAATAACCCTCGGGTATGTCTCACACGTGGAGCCACACATTTTTTGTGAGGGAATAAACATCTTCTTGTTGGCCCAAAACATCAATCAGAAATAAAACGTTCTCTTTATGACATGTTTGCTTATAGCGGGGGTTTAGTGTAAGAGTAAAATATTCTGCTATGTACGTGGTCGAAAATTATACAACACACTATATTATGACGGGATAAAGTACATGATGTTGTTGAAAACATTAAATAAGGTATACTAAAGGTATACAAAATTACATTAACGTCACTCGCTATTGTCAGTGACTTTTAATTACCAGATATTTATCTGTGTAGTAAAATAAAAACCCACCCCACCTTCTCCCCAACCCACTTAGCAATGGCACTGCATGAAGCTCCAGGTTTCCGGCGAGTTTTACCCCCCCCCCCCACCCTCCCTCAGACATTATCATACGCGGTCTTACATCCACAAACAACGGGTAGGCGGGGGAGGCGTGGATCAAACATGTGTAGGACAAACGGAAGTCAATCATTCAGGCATCTGGTGAGCAGACACAGATGCTGGCAGTCAAGAAAAGTGAGACAGGCTACCTGCAGACAGTGAGACAGGCTGCCTGCAGGCTCAGTGAGACCTGCAGGCTCAATGAGACAGGTTACCTGCAGACAGTGAGACAGGTTACCTGCAGGCTCAATAAAACAGGTCCAATGTAAGTGGTTACCTTTCATCTTACTAAGTCCCTGGGTGGTTGTTGTGTTGTGGGTTGGTGGTTAGGTATGTGCAATTTTGGTGGTTAGTTGTGTGCAATATGTGGACATGGTGAGATAACAAGTATCCATAGTACCGAAGCCGCTAAACCAATGCCGAAATTATTTCCATAAATTTGGCATGCTTTTGCCGTCTTCTTGTTTGAATTACTTGTGAAACGGCCTCCACTTCTATCCCTCTTTGTATTCTATCATTATAGATGTTGTTGGGAAAGTTGATGCCTTTTATCCTTCGAGGGCTCTTAAGATAGAATCTAGTGATCTGCCGGTAGCGATGATTGGGTTCTAGAATTGTTTGCCAGGCAGAAGGGCAACGAGGACACAGATTTTGTAAAGTCTGCATTAAAAGTCTTGGATGAGATTATCTTCGGCCATGATGTGTGCGTGGTTGTAAGCGTGTTTTACGCTCAGTGGTGTAGTCATACAGTCACCTAAATAATTGACAATGTTGCCTTAACATGTTAAATCTTTTACTTCGTTGTACTTGCGTGTTGCATATTTTAATAGAATCTTTGCCTGTCGATTCTTGTTTTAATAATTTTAATTTTCTAAATATTTAATTTGAGTCCTATACCAATAGTTGTTTGAATATCTTTAGAGTTACCATTCATACACAATTTCAGTGGGTGCTAAATTCTTTACTTTATTTTTAATTTAAAACTTTGATTTCTATTTGTCCTGGAGTTTAGTAATGTGTTTTCTATATCATACTGTAAATAAATAAAACCAGGAATATGTATAACCAAAGTGAACTGAAAAAAAAAATCATAATATTTAGAGTAAAGCTATGTACAAACGACGAAAAAATTTTACTTTGAGAGCACGCACCTTCGTGCAACAGAAACTAACCTGTTGAACACGTGAGCCATGAGACTTTTTAAACCGCTCGTGTCAATTAGTGCTGCGGAAATTTTTGATGGGGAACAAATTGAGTCATGGGGCCACTGAGGCTTTCTTTTGAAATTTTTTGGTTTAATTGGATTAGAAGCACACGATTAAATCTTCTAATTTCATCATTCTGTACATGAAAATATGCGCATCATCCCACTACATAATCATGTTAGAGATATTAAGATAAAAACATATATATATATATATATATATATATATATATATATATATATATATATATATATATATATATATATATAGTAAGTGCAATCTGTGAGTGCTTATGTGTGTGTAGGTCGTGTAGTTGTTGTATTTTTGTGTAGTGTTATGTTTTTATGTTTTTATGTATTTTGTATTTTGTTTCGCTTTCCTTTTTCTGATTTATGATTTAGCTCTTTTTCCTGCTTGTTTGTATTTTTGCAGTTCTATGTTTTTGTTGTGTTTTGTTGTTATGTTACCTGCAGCTGTACTTCCATATATTTGCAGTTTTGTGTTTTTGTTGTGTTGTTGTGTTATGTTACCTGCAGCTGTACTTCCATATTTTTACCCACGTCTGTTTCCAGAACTCTCTTCTAAGTTTCTATCTCGTCCTCTATTGTGAGTTTTTATACAAAGATGTGATTTACGAAGTGATTTTTTTTTGGGCATGTCTTAGTTCAGTGTAAAAACTTACATACCTGATGAGACAATTATGTATCGCCTAATTGCTGAAATATTTTACCTGTTTCGCTATTGTCAGGTTTTGCACAAGCTTTGATCAAAGAAGTGTTTGTAAATGTGTTTCTGTGGGATCACGTTGGCATTACATAACACGAAGGTTAAGGTAATGTTTAGCTTTTTGGTGCACTGAGCTATGTGAGGTGGGGTGGGGAAGGGATGAACGGGCAGTAGTGAGAACAACTGGTAGCCCGGAAATCTTCAGTTCGGATCCCAGAGTTGAGACCTGGGAAAGTAAAGGTGGCTGGCATAGACCTAACTACACCATATCCATACATAGCGAGCTCACAGAAACAGATTAAATCTACTCCATCTACAATATGTACCGCAATTTCCGAGAGGGTAACTCTCTATTATTAGATAATAATGTGTTAAAAATATAGTATAAAGAAAAGATAATAAGTTGTTTAATTAAAATTATTTTAATAGCATTCTAAGATTAAACAGAGTCAAGTTTTCTTACAAGACTGAACATTTCAAAATTAATTAGCCAAGAGAAAAATAGCAGAGCATAACGAATCGTTTTGAGAACACATTTAGTGTGAATAAAAATATTTATCTGATTATTATTTATATTCACAATCAACGTGTTCTAAAAAAAGATGTGTGTTACTCTACACTCTACACTAACCGTTAAAACTTTTCGTTCAGAGTTAAACTCACATAGTTAATTTACATTGTGTGAAGGTGGAACTAAAAAAAAACATGCGTGAAAAAATAAGGGTGACGAAAATAGAACACGGTAGTCTGCGGGAAGTTTTTCAAGAGGAAGCAGCAGTTAAAAAGTTGTGAGGAAACCTCGGCATCACCTGTTGTACTAATCAAGGCCTGTCAGGCTAAATGAACGGCTGCATGCTTTAATTACTGGAGGAGATGTGTTGTGACGTGTGTGTTAGATAATGTGATGCTTTTGTTGGTTTGCTGAATTGTATGTGTGTAAATATAAATATTATAATGTATACACACACTCACACACATATGTAATTATATATAAATAAATATATATATATATATATATATATATATATATATATATATATATATATATATATATATATATATATATATATATATATATATATATATATATATATACTATAGCTTAAAAACATTATGTAAAAGATTCTATATACATTCTCAAATCAAATGTTGAAAATTTGAAGATAAAAGGCGGCTAGTTAATTCTTGTTATTATTTCTTCAATCGTAAGAAAGTTCAAAGAATGAAAAATGGGTTTATTTACAAACAGCACTTTACCGGAACACAGGGATGGGAGGGGGGAGGGGGGACTTTTAAACTCCAGAAGAAACACAGGAGCATCAGTTCTAGCAGGTACAGGGAAGGTTGAGTTTGAGAGTAAACAGGGGAACTGTAGTGTGAGAGGGAACAGAGGAGCTGTGGTTATAAGCTCACCAACCGTGAAGTGATTGAGCCATGACACAACAACAGAATTGATGTTCTTTAAATCATTTAGATGCAGGTGCTGATGTTACGTGTTCTTTGAGTGGATTTGATTTGATGCTGGCTGGCTGGCTGGCTGGCGAGTTTAACACACAGTCCACACATTACTGCACATATAGGTTAATTACCAGCACATGTGTACAAACACATGTGCTGATACAAATATGTGAGGTCATTCAGCCGATCTGAGTGGTGGTTGGTCACAAACACGATGCATATGTAGCCGCTATTTGGCACCCATTTCTATACTTTCAAAGTTCTGCACCAACCACATAATGTGATCACGGTTGCTGTATACCACATATGTTACGGTTGCTGTATACCACATATGTTACGGTAACTGTATACCACATACAATATTCATTTAAATATAATAGATTAGAACGAATATGATTTAGTCAGTGCCTTGTTGGACCCCTGATGTCCATATATTATTCGCGAATGAAAATAAGACAAACATGTAACGTCACGTATGTTACGGCTTACAAGGGCATCGATATTTACACAACTTTTACATGAAAAAGATAAACATTACCCGAACACATTATTTGCCGTCAGAACCAAATGCTAGAATCATTTCTGCTCAACTAAAAAATATGATCAGGGTTGTATCTGACAACAGTGGCAATTCTTTATCCTAAGTATTGTATTACCTCCCCTGGGATGACGCTATTATTGCGATTGTTTCCCCTGGCGATGTTTCTGTATGCAGAGTGGCTGCATCTTTTTCTAGCTGTTTTTTCTTGCTGTCATTGGAACAAAATATTACATGTGTCAGGCAATTGCGCTGTGTCTTTTATACAAACCCCGTAAAAGTGCATTAGGAAAATGTAAGCCATGTCCAAAATGGGCAATTGATTTAATGGTACACTGAGATATATATTTGGGAGAGATTGGGTTTAAATATGTTTTCAAAGTAAATATTTGTATTAAGAATATATATATATATATATATATATATATATATATATATATATATATATATATATATATATATATATATATATGTACTTAAGGTTATTTAACTGGTTTTAATTAAATTAAGAATTAGCACTTTTAATTGTCGACATCATTGCAGATCAAAGAACAACTACGACTTTTTAAACCTTGAGCTATTTACTTGGTTATTTCCCCTATATTGGCTACAAAATTGTTTCCTCGTTCAGTGGGGTTAGATTTATTTAGTGATTATATATAACTTATTGTGACACATAATTAAAACAATTTTCCACCAAGGTTGCTATAACATCGAACATAACAATGTGTAAAGGATTGATGAAATCTGATTCTCTTTAATCAGACCAAAACACATCCACACTCAACACTCTGGTACCTGGTAACGTGTTTATTCCTCTACAACTCTTTACAATCGTGTTATCAACATTCAACCCCACTCGCTCTACCAGCTGTCTACTGTTGTCAACACGCGGACACGCCTTATGTGTGATCCGATGCAACATATTAGACAAACAACAACAAACGGGTTACAAAACAAGACTGAATAAAACAACAGCTCGTTAAAACTAAAAGAATTTAATTATATATACACTATCTACACCTAACACAGTCTAGTCTAAACACAAAATACACACGATAGTACAAAAACTACGATACAGTGGCTAAATACTCGTATAGACCTAACTGACACTAATCTTGTGGGAGAACTGGACAAAACTGAGCCAATCACACACGTTCTCATACACCTTATATACTCGACTAAACTGATACAATCACACACGTTTTCATACACCTTATATACCTTTACATAAACTGGCACAAACCGGACTGTTACAAATCACAGACCGAGGATTGAACAGGGACGAACAAGGTGCCAAGTACAAACAACAATCAGCCCCATTCATCCCCCTTCACT